TATTTATATATATACTATATATTTTGAGGTTAGGCTATCCAAATTGCACTGCATAATATGTTCTGAATTAATATGTTCTTGGGTTTTTTTTTGAAATATATATATACATGTATTAATTCAACCTTAATCTGAGTTTTTGGACAAGAAAGAGGGTAAGCAGTTGAAATTTCATTCTAAAATCCATCTTTTTTAGTCTTTTCATGACTTATGATCTGTCAAATTTGTAGTTTTATTTATTGGTTTTGAGTGTTTATCTTAAAACTCAAGTTTATTGGTTCTTTTTTTGGGTAAAGGGGACGGAACCCCGGAAAAATTTATTCAAAAACTAAAACAAGACAAGCTACGAGGGGCATACCCCAAGAAACAAATAAACTAAGTGTCTTCCAAGAAAATGTTTAGGAAGGACACTTAAAAAATATCTAGTTCTAGAAACCAGGTTAGCAATATCAAGCCAACAAGCCCAAGAGAAGATACAATCCAGAAAATAAATGGAAGAGTTGACTCAAAACAAGTAATTAGGCATATCCCACCGGTGTTCAACAACTTCCCTATCATTGCAGCCCTCAATAGCATTCCGCTTTCAATCCATATCCTCAAGCCCACTTAAAGCAAAGGAACTCCAAAGATTAGAATAAGCAGCACAATTAAAAATCAACTTGGAGCCCAGAATAGGATCCATCGCATAGTTGATATTCCTTTTTCAGCCCATGTCCTCAAGCCCAAATAACATAATGGAACACCAAAAATTTGAATAGGCAGCCCAATTAAAAAACACCTTGAAGCCCAAAATACTACCCATCTCATAGTCCATCTCTTTAGGATTACCCAACTCATCACGAACGCAGCCCCTCCATCCAAGCGACCAAAATCTGCTCTCGATCATCAACTCCTTCGAAGAATACACATTTGTGGAGTCGTTTAAATATGTTGGATTTTAAACTGTCATACAATTTTTTTTCATCGATAGTCTGTAATTGGAACCATAACTCTTATTTATTCAAATTGTATTAATATGTAAAGACCAAGTGTAACCTATATCATCGTTAAATCTTATCTTATTAAACCAGTGGAACTTCAAAATCGTTAAAATTCATGGCTCCCGCCGCATTGCACGGATACACAACTAATACATTTTCTTGCAAGATTTGAATTTTGCACCAATTTTTTAATATACATTTTCATGCAAGATTTGAATTTTGCACATGCAAATATATCATTTGTGTCAAAACTTTAATGTTACTGGTGTCTTTTTTATTATTTTAGTAATTCTATTTATTATTTTTATCATGTTTTTCATTTCTTTTATTTTTTGTTATTTTATTATTTTTATCTTAAAGTATTAACCATTATTACTTTTGTGTGATGGAATATTTCTAAAAATAGAAATCATAGTATTTCCTCTCAACGGTCAACGTCAACTGTCTTTTTAATTTAATAAAAAACATGTTTATTAGATGGGTTTTTCGTGCAACATGATAGACTTTACGATCTACCGGTAAATCCATTATTTTTGTCAAACAAGTATACATTAAGTTGGATCAACGTATTTGTAATCAAATTCCACTATTTCAAATGGATTTTTTTTTGAAGTTTTTGATTGATTTCGATGAACTTCAATTTTCGGTTTAATAAGATATAAGATTTGGTAATTTATAAGCTACATCATCAGTTTTGGTGACATGATGTAACACCACCCTTTTATTAGTGTCATGACGTGCAAGGCATAAAATAAATCATAAAAACCATTCATCACATCATGTCAAAATTGTTAAAACAACGTAACAACTTAAACGTTGATTTACAATGCAAATTACATGAAACTTAGCAGTATACAATACAAGATTCAATGCAATATGTCGTGGCACAACTTGATTAATACAAACTATTCACCACATCGTAGCAGAATAGTTAAAATATCATAAAACATTGGTTTACGATACCAAATACATCAAACTTAGTAGTACATGATACTCAATGCAACACAATATAAATAGCATAGTCCATACATGGTGACTTCCAAAATACGCCCTTATATCAAATCTTCACCTTTATAGCTTTCAGACTTGTCTGCTCCTGTAACACACACTACTCGTCAGCATAAAATTCATTGAGTTTATGGTTTTAGATTTAACATCAGTTTATAGATAGTGGTGCAATGGAATTAAAGCTTTCATAAACTTAACAACAAATGAACATAACATCCGACCTTGTCAAAAATATATGTAGCATGAAAAGAAGAGTTTCGTAAAGGTTATGCATACCGTACGTATACATACATGCTATTTGGATATGATTATTCTAGGTCCCATATGTGAAGTAATGTTTTATAAGTAACAACAATACCTTTGTTGATCTACTAAACACATATTAGAGCATATGCTACGATATATGCAAACATATATTTTGAGTTTAAGGACAATTGTGTATATATACCGTATCGTTTGGAAACAGAAATATGTAGGGGACCATCCATCTGAAGATTAATCATAGTTCTGTAATGTGGGATTTTGCTTTCATCACTCAACTTGAACGCGAAGCAACCCAACAAGATAGAAGAGAATATCTTCATCTGCCTATACGCGAAATCTCG